TGTATTTTAACGGCCAAAGTAATGGTGCTGAACAAACAAACTACGAGTACTACACGTCCGGTGGTATCAAATCGGGTCTGAGGGCCGACTCCGTAGACTTCACTCTCAACGGAAAGAAAATCACTTTATTTAGCGGTTCTTTGCATTACTTCCGATTACCTGCACAGTATTGGAAGGACAGGCTGTTGAAGTTCAGGGCCGCCGGACTTAACACGGTATTTATATTTAAAGAATATGCATTATGGTATTATGATTTATAAACTAAATTAATTATTTATCAATATTAGTTTTACTTTTTAAGTAAAAGTGAAACTAATCAATGTTTTCCATCGAAAATGTATTTATAGTTCAAAGTACCTATGAATTATTGAGGTTATCTAATCAATTGTCTATTATAAAGACAAATAATGGTAAATAAGGTAAAAGTCTAATAAGATATAAATTTATTTGTTATGTAACTTACATTGAAATACAGTATTGTACAAAATAAAAAATAGTTTGTGATAAATATATTAAGTATATTAATATTGGTTCTGCCTGCACTATTTAATTTATAATTATCAATTAATTAATAAATAACAATATGAATAATTAACAATTTATTAGTTAACATTTACAGATTATTTAATCATTTTTTAATTAATAAATATCAACCTAAACACGTTTCTCACAAACTACAGGTGCAGTCATACGTGGCCTGGAACATACACGAGGACATCCCTGGCCAATGGGACTTTGAGACCGGATTCCGAAACCTCCGGGAGTTCCTCAAAGCCGTCAAAGAGGCCGATATGTTCTTCTGGTTCCGGATCGGCCCCTACATCGATGCCGAGTGGGAATTGGGAGGCTTTCCCGCGTGGATGCTCAGGGATCCTAAAATGAAATTCAAGTCCAACTACAAACCCTACCTGAACGCAGTGGAGGCCTACTTCATGAAGGTTTTAGCCCTTATCGATGAGTTCCAGTTCCAAAAGGGCGGTCCCATAATAGCCCTGCAGTACGAGAACGAGTTCGGGGGCATCCGTTCACAGGGGGATCAGGAGTACTTCGATCTCATGAGGAATACCATCGATAAGAGTGGGTTCAAAGAGTTGTTGACTAACTGTGACGGCGGGACCACACTCGTCACCGCACTCAAGACCATTCAAAAAGGTTTGTTATATTTGGGGTGGGGGTCAGTGGGGTGAATGCTATTGTATAACATGATTGGCTTATATCATGATACCATTATGTGGTATGATAGGCTGTGAATAAAGTATATATAATTTATTTATTTCTCGTAATCTAAATCTTATGAGTTTATGATATAAAAATAACTATATATGTATAATAATTTGCAAGAGTAGCTTAGAACTTTAATTTACCTGGTTTGTAATGTATTAAAACTATATTTAATATACAGTATAAGTTTAATTTTTAAGGCTTCTATTGCAATTTATTATACATTTATGTAATATATGTCAAGGTACAAATATGATTAATTATTCTTTATTTTTAATTATCAGGCGTTTTAGAGACGGTTAATTTTAACTCGGATTCATTAAAGCAATTGACTGTATTACGCCAAGCACAACCTAATAAACCTTTATACGTATCAGAGTTTTGGCCAGGCTGGTTTGACTACTGGGGTGGCGGTCACGCCCACTACGACGTCAAGAAGTTTGAGAAGGAGGTAACGGATGTGGTATTCAATGCCAACGCGTCCATCAATTTCTACATGTTTTTCGGCGGAACTAACTTTGGATTTATGAATGGCGGCTCTGGGGATAAGGGTCTGGTCACCAGTTATGACTATAATGCACCATTATCTGAGTCAGGTATGTTATAACTTATATAATTTATGTTATGAAACGTAATTAAATAATGTTAATAAGAATTATATAACTCTTAAAAATAAGGCAATTATACGGACAAGTATTGGAAAACAAAGGAATTGATTGAAAAGTTTAATAAAGAGAGGTCTCAACCAAAGCTATTAATACCTAAACCCCCGACATATGTAACACCGGTTTCTTACGGGAAACTCAAAGTTAAGGATTTCGACATATGTAACACCGGTTTCTTACGGCAAACTCAAAGTTAAGGATTACTTGAGTTTAGAGGACGTGTTGACACAAATGAAGCCAATCGTCACCGAAAAGCCACAACACATGGAGTTATTAAACATTGGCTCAAATTATGGTCAAAACTATGGTTTCATTCTCTATAGACTCACAAACTTACAAAAATTTAAACATTTAAAATTAACAGGTTTTATAATTACTATAAAAGAGCTTATATTATTTGATAAAATACCTTGATAATAATTAGGTGGTGCCTCTGATCGGGGAGTCATACTCGTGGACCACAAAGAAGTTGGTGTCGTTGAGGGTAAGAAAGACTATAATCAGGACTTAAATGACACACAATTTGCAAACACAACGACTCATACGTTGGATATAATCGTCGAAAACTGGGGACGTCAGAAGATCGGTAATATGAATATCGATCGCAAGGGTCTTAATGGAGACGTTGATATCGATGCAAAAGTTGCCACAAATTTCCAGACATTTCCGCTTGAATTCAAAGAACCATTTGTTAAACAATTAACTCAATTAAAGGGAAAACCTTTCGTTGAGGGCTTAAAAAGTCCAGCCGTTTATCGTTTAGAATTGGATATTAAGGACAGTCCTAAGGACACATTCATACGACTGGACGGTTGGTCGAAGGGAAATATATTTATCAATGATTTCAATATAGGCCGGTATTACCATATCGGACCCCAACAGACACTGTATATCCCTGCACCGTTACTCAAAACGGGCAAAAATGAGATATTAGTGTTTGAATTGCATTCATCAACTGGTACGGTTGAATTTGTTGATACCCCACATTTGGGATAATTTATGAAATGAATCAAATACTAAACAAAGCACTTAATAAAATGTTCATAATACTAAAAAGTTAACGAAGTTTGGATTATAATATTTCATAATTATTAAAAATAAAACTAATTTAGCATATTCATTATATCACTATCATTAATACGAAAGTTATATTTCATGAAATATATTAACATATATTATTTTTACTCTTAATGTATAAGTTTTTATATGTCGTATATCTTGCACTATAAATAACACGAGTTGTTAATATTAAACAAGGTAGATGTATTTTATATCCTAAAAGAAATTCTACAAAATATGTTATTTATTTTTATTAATATTATAACATCTCAATTAAAAAATTATAACATCTCAAAAAATTTTAATTAAATATTACGACATTTGCACTTTATATTAAATTCAAATTTAAGGGTTTCTACATCTTACTAATAATTGTTTATTAAATACAATAAATAATTAATTAACCTCAATAACCCACGACTCAATATAATCAGTTAAAATTATCAATAAATAATAAATTACCCCTCCGTGTTTTCCTAATAATTTATAATTAGGATATTAAACCGGCTAAAAGATAAAAGGTGCATGATATGATTTTCTATTTTTATCAAAACGACAAATTATAAACAACTTACTTTAATACTAATCTACCTATAAGTATGTACAGATATATTGCGTACCAAAAATTTGTATCAGATGGTGGTTCATATTAGGTACAAGGTTAACATTATGTGAATTCAAACATTTGTCATTTTACTATAAAAACCGCAATCAAATTCATAGGAAGTCCCAATTCTTTTACATTAGGCATACGAGAGACATAAAAATGAAATTATATTTAATTTCGTGTTTAGCTTTTGTCGTGTATTTTAACGGCCAAAGTAATGGTGCCGAACAGACAAACTACGAGTACTACACGTCCGGTGGTATCAAATCGGGTCTGAGGGCAGACTCCGTAGACTTCACTCTCAACGGAAAGAAAATCACTTTATTTAGCGGTTCTTTACATTACTTCCGATTACCGGCACAGTATTGGAAGGACAGGCTGTTGAAGTTCAGGGCTGCCGGACTTAATACGGTAATTATATTTAAAGAATATGCATTATAGTATTATTATTTATAAATTAAATTAATTATTTATCAATATTAGTTTTATTTTTTAAGTAAAAGTGAAACTAATCAATGTTTTTCATCGAAAATGTATTTATAAATGTGTGTTTAAAGTACCAGTAAATTATTAAGGTTATCTAATCAATTTTCTATTATATAGACAAATATTGGTAAATAAGGTAAAAGTCTAATAAGATATTAATTTATTTGTTATGTAACTTACATTAAAATACAGTATAGTACAAAATAAAAAATAGTTTGTGATAAATATATTAAGTATATTAATATTGGTTCTGCCTACACTATTTAATTTAAAATTATCAATTAATTAATAAATAACAATATGAATAATTAACAATTTATTAGTTAACATTTACAGATTATTTAATCATTTTTTAATTAATTAATATTAAACCAAACACGCTTCTCACTCACAAACTACAGGTGCAGTCATACGTGGCCTGGAACATACACGAGGACATCCCTGGCCAATGGGACTTTGAGACCGGATTCCGAAACCTGCGAGAGTTCCTCAAAGCCGTCAAAGAGGCCGATAT